CGGCCGCCAGCTCTGGCTCGCAGGCTCCTGAGCGCGGCGTGCCCCGCGTCTGCTCTCTGCCCTCTGGGAAGGCACCGCGAGCCCTCCCTTGGCTGTGGAGGGCTGCTGCCAGGGAGCCCTGCGATTTTTAGATCTCGGGCTTAGCGGTTATTTCTCACCAGCGTGCCCTGAAGTTTAATTTTTGTTAACTTTAAATACTGAGCATTAATCCTGGCCCAGTAACTTGAAAAACTAACATCAGTTTCCTTCTGCTGTGTAAAGAAAGCCCAATGCTGCTTTCAGCCTGTTAAGTTACTTGCCAGAATGAGGATTTTACAGCCCTCTTTGCTGTTTCAGGAGGTAATATGACCTAAATGCAACAAACATCAAGTTGTTAAATTAGCACAGACAGGAATCCAGCTGTGTACTTTCTCTGAAGCCCTCATTAGCATGTTACCCTGAACTATAAGATGGCTGGGGATTAATTTCTGAGAATACATCAAGGTTTCTCAATAAGCTGCTGCTGCAGATCTATATCTGACTCTATAGTCATATATATATAGGATAAATCCTAAAATCTATGCTTGCCAGTAAGGTCAAGGCAGCCAGCGGAGATGTATCGAACCACACTGTCAGAGGTAGACATTTCAGGCCAAACTCATTCCTGGTGCAGCACTGCTAATTCCTTTGAAGTAACACGAGGGATGAATTTAGTCCCTCATGCTGAAAGATATATCAATAGGAAGCAATTTAGATTGGGCCACTTAAAGTGCATGTAATACAAAAAAGAGAGACTGAGGAGTAATGCTTGAAGGGTTCACAGAGGTTGATTTGTGTAAGCTAGTAAGGTTGTAGCATTGCTGTCCCAAGGGAAAGTTGGGGGAATGGGAAATTGCCTTTTATGGCTGAGCCTCAGGTTAACAGGAGAGAGGAAAGTAGTTTTAGGACTACTGTGTAAATTGGCAGTGGTACAGGCTGCCCTTCCAAGTTACACTCCAGTCGCACAATGGCTCCTATTCACTTCACCCTCTTCCCCAATTATCCGGAGACATGCCCAGCTGCAGAGTTTACATTTCCTTCACCCGCTTTCTCTTTTTCACACAACGCACCAAATAACAATGTCTGAGTTCCAACATCCCAGTTGGGTTTGGGGAAGGGAAAGA